TAGCGGCGCTGTCGTCGCGCCACAAGCGAAACATACCGAAGCCTAAATCACGCTATCAAAATTCCGAATCATAAACAGTATATATAGAACATCTCCGAACTATCACACGGACTGTTGGCCGCTCCTCGGGCAGAACACCTTGCCCGGCGGGAGATTCCCCCTTTTCCTTCCACGGCCACAGTGGTGCCCACAACCAACAACCTTCGGAAACTTCAAGCTTCATCATCGTCATAGAATACCCCATCCATTCGCTCCCGAGCAGATATCGACTGCAGTCTTCACATCCTGCAAGCCATCTAACTTCACAAGGTTCATCGCAGCACTGGAATAATAATACTTCCTGTTCCTTCAAGCTACTCTCTGCGCTATACAGTGTTCGGCACGGCTCTGAGCCTCACTGCTCGCCTCTGCTTTACGGCACCTTCGCAGATTACTTGCCTTCTTCTCGACTCACCGCAGACTACAAAGCAATCTCCTGGCACTTGCACATTCGTCAGCAACGAGGCTGCACTATCGACTTCCGGTCTGAGCAGGGGGGTGATGTAAGCGAAATACACCGAATCCTAAATCACGCTATCAGAATTCCGAATCATAAACAGTATATATAGAACAGCTCCGAACTATTACATGGAGTGATGGCCGCTCCCCGGGCAGAACAGCTTGCCTGGCGGGAGATCTCCCCTTTTCCTTCCTCGGCCACAAAGTCGTCTAAATATATATATATAAACTAATTAAGAAATGAACAATAACATATTTAACAAATTTGATATGACTATTGTTTAAACCCACTACTGAATGTTCAATATCTATCCATCCAACCATTACAGTCTATAAAAGTTCACTGCTGAGCATAGGCTACCCTAGATGCATCATAGTGGGTATTTTGCCATATTTGCTCTTTGAGTTGCATTTCGACGATATGCGGATTTCGCTAACACGCGTTATGGTAGTGGACAGACTCTTGCTGTCTCTTTACTCAGATATAATATTTGTTGTACATCAGAATTTCAATCAGGTTATCCCGTAGATAATGAAAGATTAAGAACACTCAGAGATAAAATACGATGGGATAGTCTGTATCATCGTTTATGTCATCGTAATGTGACTCTTTCTTATTCACAACAATCCAAGTTTTTTTTCTAAAACATTATTGATGCTTTCAGACAGTTTCTCTTTACATCGTTAATGTACTTTTAAAAGTACGGGAGAGCCACTAATTTTTACGACGAGTAGATTAATTTCCCTTCGAATGTTTATATACTTTTCCGATATACCTTATATAGTACTCACTAATTACAAAAAGATTTATATCAACTTTATCAATTATGAAGTTGAAGTTTGGCCGTTCTTCACTGCTTGTTTATTCCATAGGCAAACGACACTTTCGCACCCTGTTGAACAAAACGCGTGAGTGACGCCGGTTCGGCGGCGTTTACGACTTTTTTTTCTCGCGAGCATTGAGCTATAATGTTTCCTATCTCATTTTCTCGCACGTTAAATCTTATGAATTTCTATGTCTGTCTCTTTCTACTGTCGCTTTTTCGTTTCATAGACTTTTAAATCACAACGATGCTAAAGAAGTTTTCACTTCAAAAATATTCATATGACGGCATGACAGCGGTGCCGTCGTACGTCGGTACAGCAAAATTGTAAAGAACACGTGCACAGATCTCGCCGCCCGGCGCGTCGCTCAGTTTCCCCCACCGCCCCACTACTCGGCTTGTTTTGCAACAACGAGTATAAAACGACCCCGCAGCGGCGGAGCAAACTTGCGCCCTCCTTTCTGCCATTGCGCCCTCCTTTCTGCCATTGCGCCCTCCTTTCTGCCAAGGAGGGAGATGCCTCGTGTAGAGGTGAAACACGTGTCGTATTGTCGTCGATGGTGTGTCTTTCCTGGAATAGTGTTAAGAGTAGTGGTGCCGGGAGTAGTGTTGTTGGGAGTAGTGGTGCTGGGATTAGTGGTGACGAGATAAGTGCACGCAAGTGAGGGAGGGCGGAAGGTGCTCTTCAATCCAGGTAAGACACATCATAGTATTTTTATGCGGATAGTTGCGAATTAATTAATGTCTATCAATATTCTGAATGATGAAGTTTTGAGTTTAAAGAGATGGAAGGAATATTTTGAAAGCATGTTTATGAGTGAGGAGACAACGTATGAACTGAATGAAATAGGAACTCCGAAAGAAGAGGAAGAAGGTAGCGAGATAAGTATAGATGAAATAATGAAAGCAATGAGAAGCATGAAAGCAGGTAAGGCTGCCGGATATGATAGAGTTTCACTCGAAATGCTAAGGGCTGGAGAGGAAGTGGTGGCAGGCCTGCTGCACACCTTGTTTAATTTATGCTGGGAACTGAAGCGGGTACCGGGAGACTGGTGCAAAGCCGTGATAGTCCCAGTATATAAGGGAAAAGGGTCGCAGCAGGACTGTAAAAACTACCGCGGTATCAGCCTTCTTAGCATCGTGGGAAAACTGTATGCCAAGGTACTAATTGAAAGGGTCATGAAAGAAACCGATGGAAAAATTTGGGATGTGCAAGCGGGATTTAGAAAGGGAATGGGATGTACAGATCAAGTCTTCTCCATGCGCATGATCGCGGAGAAGTTTTTGGCCAAAAACCAAAAGGTTTTTTGTGCGTTCATGGACTTGGAGAAGGCCTATGACAGAGTGGATAGGAATGTGCTATGGCAAACACTGAACTCATTTGGGTTGAGCGCTGGCTTGATACAGGCATTGGAATCTCTTTATAGGGACTCTAGTGCTTGTGTTAGGATCAACGGGGTCTACTCGGACTGGTTTGGCATCCATAAAGGTGTCAGACAGGGCTGTGTGGCTTCCCCCGTGGTTGTTCAACCTATTTATGGACAGTTGTTTGCAAAATTTGAAAGTTGAAGAATGCGGATTAAGAATGGGTGAGTTAACCATCAAATGCCTTTTGTACGCCGATGATCAAGTTATTCTTGCGTCGTCGGCGGCTGAGTTGCAAATGATGGTTACATTAATGAACAGATCATTAAAAGAAAGGGGTATGAAAGTGAACGCAAGTAAGACAAAAATTATGGTTTTTGAAAGAGAAGAAAGTAAAACGATTTGTGAAATAAGAATAGAAGGGGAGTTGATCGAGCAAGTAGATGAGTTTGTATATTTGGGTTGCGTATTTAGCAGGGATGGGAGATATGATAAGGATATAGAGCGACGAGTGAACGCAGGAAACAGAGTAAATGGAGCCCTGCACTCTATTGTGAAGAGTCAAAATGTGTCAAAAAAGGCACGTATGGCAATTCACAATGCTGTGTTGGTCCCTACTTTAACGTATGGTAGTGAAAGTTGGGTATGGCAGAAGAAGCACGAGAGTAGAATAAATGCAGTAGAAATGCGGTCGTTAAGGAGTATTTTAGGGCTGAATCTGAATGACAGGGTGAAAAATTGTGTGATAAGAGAAGAGTGTGGTTTGCAAGATGATGTTGTGACCAGGATTAAGAAAGGAATGCTTCGGTGGTTTGGTCATGTGGAAAGAATGGATGAGGAAAGAGTGACAAAGAAAATTTATGTTGCAGAAGTGAATGGCAGAGTCGGAAAGGGACGTCCTAGGCGAAAATTTATCGACCAAATTGGCGATTTATTGAAAACGGGCCAAATTAGGAGTACCCTTAACCGACGAGCATGCATGCGTAGGTGTATGGATGTGAAGGAGGCGAGAGAGGTGTGTCAGGATCGTGCCAAATGGAAGTCTGTAGTCTCTGCCTACCCCTCTGGGTGACAGGCGTGAGTGTTTATGTATATGTATTATTTATGTAATTAATGTCTTTATTGTAATGGATTTCCGCAAAGTAATGCCTGATTCTATCAACTATCGATTAATTATAAAAATTTAAGATAAATATCGACATTAATTTTAATGTAGTTGAATCAACCCCTAATGTACATGTAAAATATAAAAAAAACCAAATTCATGCAGATTATCAACAACGAGACTTTTTCTTTGCAAAATAATAAAATTAATACAATAATTGAAAGTATTCTATATTATGAACAGTATATAACATAAATTTTAACCAAAAATAAACGCATCTTATTATTGACGACGTCTTGAAAATTTACCTGTGAAATGTACCTGTGAAATTATAAGGATTATTTCTATTATTAACACCACAGTCACTCACAGAATAAGTAACCGTTTCGGAAAACAATAATTACTTTCTAAGTAATTTTTGCGATTTGCTATTCTTTTCTATTTTTGCTAGATTGCCATAAGGAATTTTCTTCTCACTTGCACACTATGTCCGTCTATTGCTATCCTAAGTCTATGTTGAAAATGGGTGCGTTTGGCAGAAAATAGCGCTAGCAAGCGCTTATTAGCGCTAAAATAGTTTTCGGCCAGGACACGATTGCTACTTCAGTAGCGCTGACACAATCCGCTATTTTGCTTATTTAATTTGTTTGTTTTGAAGAAGAGTTTGTAAGTCGTTTTGCAATATTAGTTTTAAGTAATATAATGACACGAATAGACATATACTTACATGTTATTAAAATTCATGATTGGTAAGTTTTTAATATGAATACTTCACAAAAATATATTTAAATTAGATTAGGTTCCGCGGTTAAAACTAACATCGTGTCCTAGAGGAAAATAGCTACTTACGATTTGACAGCGCTTACCGCTTACGATCGCCATTTTGCTTACAAGCGCTTGCTAGCGCTTTTTTCTGCCAATCGCACCCATTAATCAAATGTAACAACACTTTCGATCAATGTCAATTTGTCAATGTCAAAAAATCTAAACAAACAATAATGATATAAAAAGTGTATGTATAAAATAGAGAATATTAAAAATTTTCTTTATAAGTTCTAGCATAAAATTAAGTTATGAGCAAGAGAAACACACATATATTTGATTTGTACTGGGAAGATATTTTAGTTGCCAAAATTTTGCCTTTTTTGACAATCCGCGAATGTTTTAATTTTCGTTGTGTATCACGAACATGTCTTCAACTAACAAACATGTTTTTCGCCAAATTAAAATCGTTAAAACTAATGAATAAAGGCTTCTCGCCTCATACCTTCAACGTAAGTGTATGGAACCTAAAATTTCTAATCGCATCTGCAGTTATTGCTGTAAATATTTGTTAATTTTCAGGTGTTTGCGAATAATTGTACGCGCCTCAAATTTCTTAATTTGAGCCGATGCTATTCGATAAGTGATGATGAGTTGATCCCCATGTTACGTCGAAACCATGATCTAGTCAGCTTGAACCTTAGTCAGTGCAAGAATTTGTCTGCAAAATGTTTGCAACCTGTTATATTACATTGCAATAATTTACGTATATTGAAACTCGCCCGTTGCTCATGGTTAACTCCTGGTGCCTTAGAAGCCCTAGCTCTGCATCAAAGTAAGCTGGAAGATGTTGACTTAGCATTCTGTGTATCTGTATCAGAAAATTGTATTTTGATTTTCATAAAGAAATTCAGGCAAATAAAAACTCTAAACTTAGAAGGCAATAAGCAGGTGACAGACAAGTGTTTGTATACTATATCAAAGTACAGTACTTCACTGAAGATTCTCAATTTGGGTGGTTGTTGTGAAATAACTGATAAAGGAATAAGGTAATTATTGATATACCTCATTGCCATTTTTGTATTTTATGTCAGTAAATGAATTAATGAACTTATGTTTTCATTTTTGTGATCATAACTGTCTAGCTTTTTCTTTAAGTAAAAGTAAAAAAAGTAAAGTTACAGCCATATATGTCCCACTGCTGGGCACAGGCCTCCCCTCATTTCTGAGACGGTTTTAGGGCAAGGAAGTGTCCACTGCGCTGCCCCAAACATGTTGGCGAATTTCACATGTCTTCGAAATATTTTTTATTTTTATTTTATATATTACTTTTTTATTTATTACGCAGACATGCAGGTTCCCTCACGATGTTTTCCTTCACCGCCGATCAGCACTTAAAATTGCAATTAACAATTTCGTTGATGCCGGCATTCGACATTGATGTTCTGTTATATTTACAGCGAGCATTAGCCATCTGAACTACCACAGCTCCTTTTTCTTTAAGTGATCATAAGAATTATATAGATTCATAAATTTTTTCAAATTTTCAATATTCAATTGTGGATAGGCAGATTGGTAAAAATAAAAGGCAAAAACTTTTACACTCGTAATGCTGGAAATAAGGGTTTAAGTTGGTTTGATGAGGTAGAGCCATACTGCAGCTATATTATAGTTCTTGCACAAATTTGTTCCTTGCCCTAAATCCCTCTCAGAAATGAGCGGGATGCCTGTGGCCGGAAGTGGTATGTATATAGGCTGCAACTTTAATACTGCTATTTCATACAGTGAGTGTAAAGAATCATTTTTACTGGTTCCAAGGCATTCCACCTTAGTCCACAGGGATGACAATGCATATGCTTTTTGAATCTTAATCGAGAGTAAATGTAGATGTCTAAGGGCCACAGGATCCACTTACCATGAGGTGGATTGTGTGCTCATTCATCACCGTTATTCTAATTTAAAAAAAGTCGGTAACCAGAACTTTGTCTGTCGGTCAGCAAGATTCACCATTGGATTAGATTCAAATTGGAGAAATAATTTCTATTTTTACACCTCATTTTTGTATTACATTGTGCAAATGAATGTATGGACCTTGTGTTCTCAAGCAGGCTGTTTACAACTCAATGCTGATGTGCTGATATATCATCAAAACCATTCCCTGATTATTAATGTGATGATACATTTATGGTTTAATTGTACTACTTATGATATATTGTTTTATAGCAATAAATAATGTTATTCCAGAGCCTTGGCCCTGCACTGCCCTAAATTGGAAGGTTTACTTATTCGAGGCTGTACAAAAGTTACAGAAAATAGTCTCCGATTGATGAGGAATAAGGTACAATTAGATAGGAGGCCCATGGATCCAGTACCATTACCCATCTATGTTCAAATTTAAAAAAAAAACTTTATGGTTGTGCATTTGAAGTTGTTAGAATAGTTCTGTTTACTTTAAATTTAAATATAAACAAAAATAGTGAATGTATTATTTAATGTTGTGTTTTTTTAGTGTGTGTGTGTATACTGATTAAGCCAATGCAGACTACTTACGTTAGTAAAAAGACTTATAAAGTTTTGGTCTTACTGAGGTAAAAATTGGCTCATTCGGAGGGCAACAATATTGTCTATCGTTTATGTTACCAGAAAAATTGTACACATACTCGTATCTTTAAAAAAAAGAATTAACTTCAAATAAATGTCAAAAAATTATTCTTATCGGCTAATTACTGTAAATTACTGCAAAAACAACCCCGTTTACCCTGTTTATTTTTTTATTACATCGACAGATTTTGAGTTAAGCTACAATACAACAAAGTTTACAGTGGTATGTTTATTATTTTAAGAAATATTGTTGTTTGAACATAGCATAATATGTTGAGTTGTCACTAAACAAAGGCCTATTGTGTTTGCACATATGCAAAATACTATTCCATGAATATTTTTAATGTAGTTGTTACTAAGAAGTATTCATTTAATAAAGATATTAAATATTTTTATTATAATGGATTTCCGCAAAGTAACACCTGATTCTATCAATTAAAGTATTCATTTATCTACATATTTAAGAGTATTTATTAACACTAGGGTACTGGTTGTTTTCGATAAAAATTGAGAATGAGTATGTTACATGTAACTTTTAATAAATGATGTTTTACATTTGACATAGTCATCTTTTAGCATAATACTCTCGATGAAAGTACTCAGACTTAGCATCTAAGAATTCCATAACTACAGCAGCTATTGGTACATCATGCTTGTATCTCTGTCCTCTCAGATACTCCATCAACCCTAGAAATGGATAGATAACACTAGGTGAAAAGTCTGGTGAATAAGGATACTGAAGTATTTGAGATTCGAACTTGTGACCCAGGGTGTTATCTTGGTGTTTACTTCGTCTTTTTTCCGGAATTTCTTTACGAGGTTTTTTTTACTTGGTCAAATACTTGTTCCATACGGGATTCGAACCCGTGGCCCAACCCCAACGGCCGCAACTGAAGCATAGTGTTACATTCTATATCATTGTAGATCCGCAAACTGTATGCAATTTTTTTTCTTTTTTTCTCATTTTTTAAAGAAATGGTTGACAGTTTACATACATAAATTGCGAAAGGACAAACATCAAGAACATACTTGACTTGTTTTGTTTACAGTTGGCGGCACTATACTTAATTTTTACCAATTATGTTATATTGTTTTGCTTTTTGTTGTTTATCATTTTAATTACATATCATTAATAAATATGTTGATGTTTTGATTGTTATATTGTGAAATGTACTAAGTTATTTCTTTATGTTAATTTTTTTGATTAAAATAGTATAAACTTTTTTTTTCTTTATATCTGAAAATGGTATAGAATTGAATAATTTTAATTCAATATAAGATTACAAGTAATACATATTGAAAATTATTAATGCTTTTACCAGGTCCAGGAAAATTTTTGTCCGGTTTGTATTGGGACTTATTTATGTTGAATTTCCGTCCTGGTATTGATTTCCTTGAAAAACCCGCAAGACTTTTTAACTATTAATTTACAAAGTATATTACATAAATAATTTATTATAATGTAAATTTAGTGCTGGCAACTTAGATCATTCCATGAGTTTCAGTAGTTGTCATAAATATTTTTTTATCAAATGTTATGACACAGAGATTTTCTCATGTATCCTAGGGGCAGTTCACATACATAAATTTCACACGAACAAACATCGAGACCCAGAACAATTGTTGTACAATTCTGTTTATTGTGATAATTCTTTTAGTAAGAAGCAAAGAATGTTGAGGGTGATGTTGCTAAGAGACTGCCATGTATCACATTATGATGGACAGTTTTACTGTTGTTTGCATATACTTCATTCATTTTGGTGGTAAGATACTATATGTAATATTATATTTATTTCTAAAGAATTCCATGAATATTTTTAATGTAAAGTTGTTACTAAGAAGTTTTCATTTATTTATTATTTAAGAGTATGAACACTAGGGTACTAATTGTGTTCAATAAAAATTGTAAATGAGTATGTTACATGTAACTTTTAATAAATGATGTTTTACATTTGACATAGTCATCTTTTAGCGTAATACTCTTCATGAAAGTACTCAGAGTTAGCACCTAAGAATTCCATTACTGCAGCAGCTGTTGGTACATCATCCTAGAATCTCTGTCCTCTCAGATACTCTGTCGATCCTGGAAATGGATAGAAATCACTAGGTGAAAAGTCTGGTGAATAAGGATACTGAAGTATTTGAGATTCGAACTTGTGACCCAGGGTGTTATCTTGGTGTTTATTTCGCCTTTTCTCCGGAATTTCGTTACGCAGTTTTTTTATTTGGCCTATTTTACTTTTTTCGTAGTGAAACTTTTAATCATACATGATGATACTATGACAGAATGTAGACATACCCTGCAACAAATTACTACTACTACTACATTTTAAATTTTTAACACCTCCCAAATAACACATACAATAATTTTTTGAAGCAGTCTTCCATTCTATATCAAATCAAATAACACATACAATTATTTTTGGAGGAAGTCGTACATTTTAGGTTCGCAAACTCATTTCTTAAAGAAATGGTTGACAGTTTACATCAAGAACATACTTGTTCCGCGTGGAATTCGAACCCGTGGCCCTCAGCGCTGGAGGTCATTGTTAAGCTACTGCGCCACGGATCCGCAAATGTTTGCTGTCTATTGCTGCAAAATGTCACCTAGCTGCTTTGGGCTAAATAGAAAGGCGTGTTAACCTAATGGTATGAAGTGATGCAGCCATGAAGCACACTGACATAGCTTAATAAAATCCTCCACTCTTGCCCTAAATACACTCATATTGTAATCAGATGGAAAGTCAGATGCTGGTAAATTATTGGACTTCTTTGCTATACGCATTACGAAAGCAACCGAAACGTCGAAAATGAAATTTTTTTTAAATTAATCGTGATAGAATCCGTAATAATTAGGATCATTTACATACTAATTACATAGAATTTGAATTTATGAAAATTGTTAATGTTTTAATTGCGAATAGTTTCTCTGAGTTTCTTTATACTTATTGAATCAAAATACGAAAATATTATTTTAGTCTTTGTGAAATACTAATTTTTGGATATTAAGTTTTTGAAAAGGTGAGATCAGGTAAACGAATAATACAGACTCTTTAACCGCCTATTTAAACAACTTATTTATTTAAATATTTATTGTTTATGAGCTCTTTCAAAGTACTCTGAAACTGTTTTTAATTTTCCTGTAACTATTTAGATATGTAGGTACTATGTGATATTTGTGTCATTTTTGTGTATATATTTAATTTCATAAATTAATGTTTTTTTAAATTGTTATAAAAATTGTAAACAGTGCCACCAACTTACATGTTCAAGTGGAAAAAAATTGGAACTAAGACCGGCTATTTTATAAATAATATTTCGTTGTAGGCTATTATCTGTGCTGTGAGGACTGCTTGGTTTGATTTCATTGTGAAATGTGCAAATAAGTATGTGTCACTTATTTCCTCCACTAGCAACTCTGTCACCTGAACAGTACAGTTGGTGGCACTATACTTAATTTTTACTAATTGTGTGATATTGTTTTGCTTTTTGTTGTTTATCTTTTTAATTACATATCATTAATAAATATGTTGATGTTTTGATTGTTATATTTTTTTTAACTTCCCAGTGGGAAGTTTTAGTAACAGGTCCGATTTTGCAAATTGGAAATTTAACATATCTTCGCGTTTCAAGGTCTTCATAGACGAATAGTATGGTTTTTAAGAGAATGTCCATGTGTGCACATGTACGTATGTATGTATGTATATTCGGATTCAATTTTCGCCTCTCGAGATGAAAGAGTGATATTGACATGGGACCAGTTTCATTTAACGCATAATTATGAAACTTAGGCCTCATTAAATTTTGAGCAAAATCGGTCTAATCGTTTTTTGTGCCGAATGAAAAATTGTATAAAGTATTAAAACATATGATATTTCTTTAGTCTTTCCACTGGGACCGGACCGCGCTCACAGCCGGTCAAGTCCATCGGTCGTCGGTTTCCGCCCGGGTGGGAGAAGTACAGCGCGTCGCTTCGCAGTGGGTGCACGTGCTGTGGGGCCAACTTGACTTGCGTCGAGCCTCAAGGACACTCCTGACCCCTCCCGGGACGTTACATACCCAACGCTGCGCGTAACCGACTATGTTGGGAAGCGAACTCCGAAGGCCCGGCGTGCTGCTCGGAGAGCGCGCGCCTGTTGGTGACTTCGGCTCCGCGTCGAGATGCGTCTCCGCGGGACCTGGAGGTCGCTGACCCTTCGGCAGATCCCTTCCCAGAGGTGCGAGATACGCCAACTTCTGTCTAGGAAACCGCCAGGCCTTAACCTAGAGCTAGGGAGGAGCACTGGAGACCCGGAGTGCTGCTATGAGGAGTGCACACCTGTCGGCAGGATTGGCCCTGCGTCGACTCCTTGTCTGCGGTCCTTGGCTTCGAGACTGTTGACCCTCCGGAAGCACCTACCTAGCGGCACGCAATACGCCAAAGCAGATTGCCTACAATGTCGTACAACGTACGGCTCCCAGGACCCGTCCATAGAAATGGGCTATGAGGATTACCCGGGTAATGGGGAATACCCCGAGGCCCGAAACCTGGAGGGGATGAACAATAGCAGTCCCTTGTAGACGACAAACACTGAACCGCAGTTTCTTTTATTTTCTGGCTACTGCGTAGTGATGATGTAAGAATATCCACTACCCTATTCCGACCCGTGGGTGTCTTAAGAGGCGACAGAGGACAACAAGTCGAAAGATATTTAATAATTAAATTTAATATACAGCGAAGCTGTCGGCCGTGAACCAACGACAGAATCAATCGTAAAGGTTCTGTCATTTGACCCGGGTCACATAAAAGTATTGATGATTGTTATTAACAATCTGGTTCGATTAATCGAGCAATAAGCGCATCCCATGGAATTATTAAAATACTTAATATAATACCATGGCGTATCCACGACTTTTCTGTCCCCCCCCCCTCCCGGACGGCGCCACTGGAATAATGCGAATTATTTGACAGATTTCATAGCGGGGAAGTTATTTAGTTAGGAAAATATAAGGATTTAAGTTTCTTCGTGTAATATTAGTTCCATTTTATAATTATAAGATTAGAAATAAAAAAAACTATGGATATTACTAAAATTAAAAAAAAATTAGGTTTGAAAAATGTGCAAAAAAATTTTTTGATAAAAATCCACAGGAGGCATTGATTAGTGTATATAATACTCTAGAAAGTGTGTAATACTTTTATTTAAAACTAACCTCAAAAATTGCGTAACAAAAAGCTTTACCTCATCTACTATCTCAGTCTCAACTCATCTGGTGAGTGGAAGAATATTAATTATAAATGAATGATCACATCAACTCAAACCATGCTCAAAAGATGTATGTGAGTGCATGTTCTTAACATACACTCACACACATATCTTAAATCATCTGTAACCAATGTGAGTGTTCTTACTATAAATTGAGCATGGTTTCAGACACATTACTTGAAATGTGTACAGTGTTCTCTGTCTTACTTTGTTGGTTCGAACCGACCAAATACTTGAATTGTTCTGGTGTTTGTGTTCAGATCTGAAGGGCACAAAGAGCCAATTCTGTTACTGCCTGTGACTGTCAGGCAATCCATCTTAGTCCTTAGATGACAACACATATGCCTTCTTCTTTCTTACAACTTGGGTCCAGGTGTCCATGGACCGCAGTAGCCACTTACCATCAGGTGGACAGTAAATTTGTTGTTCACTTCAGTTTTATAAATATATTTTGAATAAAACTAATGTTTTTGAGCCAATGAATAATAGTTTTTATTAGAATAAAAATTTACAAATTGTAATTTAAAAATACACACAACTCTGTCTCATTGGGTTTTATAAAACTTCTCCTATTGTTTATTATTAAACCTTCTTTAGTAAATATTCGGTCACATGACACACTGGTAGCCACAATACATAACCTACTCTTCATCAACTTAAATAATCTTGGGTATATGTGTTTGTTCTCATCCCACCACATCAACGGATCATCAAGTCTATTAATTAGTGGTTCATTTATATATTTTTCTATCTCTTTGTGGCTTGCAGTCTGTGGATCCTGATCACAAATAACATACTCAACTTGTTTATCAAAGTCATCCCAAAGCAACGACGTATTAGACAGTTGAAGGTCTATTGTAGATGAAGTTGATGGCAGGGGATCTTGAATGTCGGAGCAAAGAGATGGAGTTGCTAAAATTTCGTGTTTTAAGGAATTCACACATCTCTCATATTTTACTGTATCAGGAAAACCGTATTTCTTAAATCTTGGGTCTATAAAAGTTGCCTGTGTCACAAGGTCTTGGGTATCCATTTCAAAGAATCTTAGTGACATCGAAGTTTGTAACTCTTGCACTAATTTGGTAAGATTTTGGTCAATAACAAATTCTTCAGAAGCTCTAATTAAATGTTTGTTTATAGCTTTTATCAACAACATTAACTTAGACAAAGTGACATATTTTTCAGCTGAAATTTCTTCAATAATAACTTTAAAAATTTCTAAGACATTTGCTGCTTTCTCTAGCATCCTCCATTCTGACGACGACAAACAATTTAAATCTGGATTATCAGTTGTCAGAACACTGATCACAGCTTCTCTAATTTTTAAGACACTGGATAACATATCAAAAGTGGAATTCCACCTGGTTATGCAGTCTTGTTTTAATTTTATGTCCGGAAGATTTAATTGTTTTTGTATATTAGTTAATTTTAACAGTGCATTGGAATTTCTTTTAAAGTAAAGAACAATGTCCTTTATTTTTGACAATTCTGCTTGAATTATCTGTAGACCATCACCCAAAACTAAATTCAGGGTGTGAGCGAAGCAAGGTATGTGTCTCCAATTGTTGTTTCTTACAGCAGCAACAATGTTTGGTGTGTTATCTGTGACTACACAAATCACTTTATCTTGCATGCCCCATTTCTCCACCTCTTCTGCTAAAAACATTCCTAATTTTTGTGCAGTATAACTATTGTCGTAGGGTATGCATCCTAGTAAGCATGATCGTTGTGAGCTTTTACCATCAATTTCGCAAATAAAATGTGCAGTTATGGAAACATAGTTCTGGTCACTAGTTGTCCAACTATCAGTAGTGAGGCAAGCTGCTTCCACAGAGGATAAGGTTTCTTCAACCTTCTGTTTTGTTTCATTGTACAATCTTGGAATAAGTACATTAGTAATAGTTTTTTCGGTTGGCATGGAGTAAGCAGGACGCAACATAGAAATAAACTTTCTAAACTCTTTACCTTCAACTATACTAAACGGATAATGTTCTTTTACTATGGCCTTGGTAAGTTGTTCATCTAGTTGTTGTTTAGAATAAACAATGGTAATTGGCCCGCGTACAGTGGGCAATGTACCCTTGAGTTTTAGAGTGGGTTCTGCTTTTATTTGGAGAAGAGGATCTTTGCAATGTTGTGCTGATGCTAGTTTCAGATTTAGAACAGTAGATTTTCTGCCTTGTGTCAGTTTAGACACTGTAGTAGGTTCAACAGGAGTATATGTTACCCTTTCAAGAGGATCTACCTTATGTTTTAACTTCATATGCCTAAGTAAATTTCCTGTAGCCCCGCCAAAGTAACTCAGTGTCTTTTGACAAAGGCTGCATATAGCCCTCCCATTTCCCACAGTGGAAAAATGATTCCAGATTAAACTCCTTTTCCTTTGAGGCGGTGCCATTTTAGTTGATCAGATCACACATGTCAATCAAATGCCACCATCGACATCACAACTTCACCGAGATAAATGTAATATGTTAGAATTATATTGAACATTTTAATAAATTAGGCATTGTACTTTTAATAGTGAGTAAACCCGGAGGACCTTTAAGTGCCCGGCGCAAGCAAGAATTAGATCAAACCAACAAACTAATTTAGATAGGCACCAACTTATTATTTACTACGCGTATTCTAATTATTTAAAATAATATCATGGTCGATCACCAATCAGTAGCATTTAGTCATGTATGTTTGTATGAGAGATTAAAATAATTACGGAACTACATTAAGAAAGAGGTCCTATTACAAGTTAGGTATCTTGGTTCGTACATAGAAAAGCATTTCATTTACACAGTATTGAATAATATTCGAAATATAAATCGTAACACAACTTTAAAAGCTCTAACACTGCAAACTGCAATTGTAATATTTTTTTATTAACTGGCTTTACGGCTCTGGGTTCTAGCCCTTATGAACCTATCATTTCTTTCGGAATCTTCATTTTTATATTCTTTTTCTTCACAATATGCCGATGGGTCACATTGCGAAGCCCTTGGGAGATTTTGACGACAGCTCAACCCAGCGGACAGTTGAAGACGACAGCCACTTAAGTTCATAAGGCGCCCAAGCGATCAAAATAACTTGAGGTTTATATCGACATCAAAATACTTGTTTCGTCGTTTTCTCTAATAGTTCACATGCGTGGACACTTAATTCACAAAATCGCATCATTTTTACGAAACAAAATATACTTCAAATCATTATTTAAGCGACAAAACAGGAGCGACAATCCGTCTACGGTTCGTCTACGGTCTACGGCCAAGTTCCCGCCACAGACTATGGTTCCCGCCAAAACTCCACAATTATGGAGTGTAGAGGTAAGGAGTACAGATTGTGTATTAAAAAAAGTCTTCTATTTGGGTAGATATTGTTAAATTAATACAAGCATCTATGCTTCGCCAACAATTTTTTTTAAAGTGCTGCCATTTTTTTATTGATGGCGAAAAAAATCATTGATCTCTGATTTGTCGATAAAATTAATTGTATTTTAACCCCTTAAAGTATCGGACATCGGAAACCGGACACCCTGTTTAGAGATAGATTACAAATATATGTAAGTACAGGTGTAAGAATATTTTTGTATCGTTTTATAAGAGAACTTGAAATATTGTCCGGTCCTACGCAGATATTTTTAAGCCTTGATATATTTGTTTCGATTTCCGAATAGTCCACTGGAAGTAATACAAATGAATTACTAGGTGATATATCTGGTGAGCCCAGGGATAAGTTTGTGGAGCGGTTTTGAATAGACTCAGCTATATTCTTTCCTATGTTTACAAAATATTCATTTATGTCATTAATCGACTTCATAGGATCATTAGAAATAAGTTCTCTAGCTGGAGCTTTGATTTTAGTTGTGAGTTATATTTTTTATTATTTCCCCAGTTTTTTGCTGTTACATTTAGCCTTACGAAGTTCCGTCTTTTCATATGCATGTTTTACCTTCTTGAGTATGTTATTACAAAAATTACTATATCTTGTGTTGTTCTAAGAATTGTGTCATTAGGATGGTTTCTTGATTTTACATGTAAATTGTCCCTATTTTTCATACATTTTAGCAAGCCCGAGTTATTCAAGGTTTTATAGTTCGTTTACGTCTCGTAACTGTTATATTTTTTAGTACATTTGTCAATAACTTGATTTAGAATATTAATTAAAAACGTAACTGCATCATTTACATTTCGCATTGAGTATATAGTTGTAAAATCTAGTTCATTAAAAGTTAAGTCTAAAGCCTTATAGTCAAGCTGATTAATTGTTTTAGTATGATAACTATTTTTACACGTCCAATTTAAGCTAAGGATTACGCTGTAATGATCTGTGATGGTAGTGTGAGCAACATGACAACGTGCGGGTTGTGTTGTTTTTAAAATTATGTGATCCAAACAGGAATTGGTATGTGTGGGGACATTAAAAGCTGGTAGCTTACCATGAGAGGCTAATACATCAAGATAAATATGGGCTCTAGAGTCTTTTGATGAGGATGATATATCAATATTTATATCTCCTGTTAATATTATATTTTTATATTGTGCTAACCCAATAAGTACAGTATTTAACGATTCAAAGAAAGCGTTTGTATTCTTTACGCTTGGGGGGGCGGTATATTGTAAGGACGAAAGAATTAGCATTCAATTTTATAAGCAAACAATTAGCATCTGTTAAGTTGATTTCTGAGATAAAATAATTATTATTTGATTTATAGTAAATTACAACTCCCTCGTTTTGTGCTTTGTTAATTGTAGTAGCAGCATAATTATATCCGTGTAGTATGGGAATGTAGGGACAGCTTTGCAACCAACATTCAGTAAATATAATTAGGGCCCAATCCACTTTTGCACGATCCAGAAGAATTCGGAAGTGTGGCATATTACGTTTTAGGCTTCTTAAATTTTGTGTTATTAATTTTTAAGATGATTGTTTGTTATATATTAAATTAGCACAGTCATCAATGTTGCATGTCAAACACGAGGCCAAAGATAATTCATCTAAGTCATTATTAATATTTTCATTAGTAAATAAAATTATTTTAAAGCTACTGAGCAGTTTAGCAGCACACTGCACACCGTCGACAACTGTTAAGTTCATTTCATGTAGCTGTTTCCTGTAGCTACTCCAGCGCTGTTGTAGAGAGTTTTTGAACTGTTATTTATCGCTTACAGATGGACACTTTTTCAACTTCTCCTTACCTCTACACTCCATATCCGCAATTGTGATAAGAAACGGTAAACAACATAGATAAATAAATAGGATTCTTATCCTCCTCCTCTTCCACAAAAAAAGTGCTAAATTAATATTGAAAATACGAGCCAGCTACCAGGCGAACAGAAAATACCACCTGTCACGCTTTCACCCTTAACTATTACTTAACTGTGGTAGAAACAGTTCTTAGTAAGCCTTATTAATAAGCCTTAGTAACATTTATTGAACGGAAATGAATACAGTTCTTATATGTGGTTATGAATGAATCGGTATTACAATAAGAAAAACTGTGCAAAACTATAAGAAAAATATTTTTTGAGAGTTCTTATTAACTAACGTATACATAGTTTAAATTGATTCCGATAGTTGTCGTTACTAGGTTTTTAAAACGCTGTAACGAAATGTTTCCTGACATGTACTTAACTCCCGCCGTTGAGCCGCGCGTCAACTTATAGTGCATACGGTACCTATACGCTTAAATTGTTTCTATTTCGCAGTTTATTCGACTACCTGCTTTCGATTTCGGTTGTTTGTTATTTCCTTTGTGATTTGGTTGATGTTGAATGGATTTATATTCGCTTTCATTTTCGGATTTGTGTATTTTCTTGGATCGGTTTTGTTGATTTGGTTGGTATTCCTTTATAAATATTTAGACTCTGGCTTTGATTTTGAATTTTGTTTATTTAGAATCGTGAATTGGTTTTCGTTGTTTTAGGTTGTTTATCAATATTTCAAAGGAATATTTAATATTATAGATAGTGTATGCGGTACATATACATTATTTTTTCGTTGGTTATATTTATATTGACTACTGCTTTCGATTTCGGTTTTCTGCGATTTGGTTTAAGTTGATTCGATTTTTTTTGGCTATCGTTTTCGGATTCGTGTTGTGTCTTGAATTGGTTTTGTTGTTTTGATTTTAAAAAATATTTAAAAGTAATATTTATTCCTTTTAGATATTTTGGATTTGCTTTTAAAAAAATATTTTAAAAGGAAATCAATTCCTTTTAGGTATTTTAACGTTTTTTTATAAATTGGCTTTTTGTTACTTCATAATGCCTCACAAACGTAAGTCCAGCCTTTCAAGAGTATCTTCTCAAAGACAAGCGAAAAGATTAGCTCGATCGCTAGAATCTTTAGAAGATGCTGAACTGAGAAGGCAAGAACAAGCAGAGCGTCAGGCTGCTTTAAGAGCTTCTGAAACACCTTCTCAAAGTCAGCGAAGGCGTCTTGAACAGGCACAGCGTCAAGCTACTTTAAGAGCTTCTGAAACACCTTCTCAAAGTCAGCAAAGGCGTCTTGAAAAGGCAGAGCGTCAAGCTACTTTAAGAGCTTCTGAAACACCTTCTCAAAGTCAGCAAAGACGTCTTGAAAAGGCAGAGCGTCAAGCTACTTTAAGAGCTACTGAAACACCTGCTCAAGCTGCTATATTTTATGGGTGATGAAGAAATTGAGGTAGACCGTCGCTGCCAATTTATCCAGGGAGTTGATAGAGACACAGTGTTCAAAATTCAAAGATTGTTGCATGAACTAACATTTTAGTCAAAACATTTAAAATTGCTTTAGAAAACCTACCTAAAGAGGATTATAAAGTCGTCATTCACGCAGATCGGACCCCTCGAGGAGAGCATGAAAGGCGCTACAATGCACCTTTGATAAACGGAATAGCAGCCGTAATTAGTGGTGATCAATTTTCTTCACGAGACATTGTCTTGCGAGCACGTGATGATAGCCGATAAACACAAGTTTTATGACGCTCTGCAATACCCATTGATTTATTGCAAAGGACAAGAGGGTATTCATTTTCAAATTCCACTCATTAACCCGGTCACAAAAGAGCCTACTCCGAACAAAAAAGTATCATGTATGGATTTTTATGCGTATCATATGATGTTGCGAGAAAATGATTTTAACCTCTTAGCCCGGTGTAGACAATTATTTCATCAACTTTTGGTAGACATGTATGTGAAGGTAGAAAGTGAACGTCTCCGTTATATATCTTTAAATCAAAAAAAGCTGCGCGTTGAGAATTATATACATTTACAAGATGCAGTTTCTAGCGACGCCAATGTAAACCCCAGAGATTTAGGTAAAATGGTAATTCTGCCCTCATCATTCGTTAACAGTCCCCGCTACCTACATGAGTACACACAAGACGCATTCGCCTGTGTACGAACTTACGGAAGACCTGATCTTTTT